ATTTTATGTTGTTGTTGTCACAAATTACATCTTTATATACTGAGTGCCCATAAACATAGATTTATAATTATTATTTTATGTACTTGTCTTTTAAAACACACAGGAAACAAAAAGAGTTACAAACCAAAAATATAGTAATACTAGCTTTTGTATTTATTTTTGTAGTTATCTTTACTGGTAATCTTCATTTCTTCATGTGGCTTTCGTTTACTGTTTAGTGTCATTTCATTTTAGCCTGAACGACTCCCTTTAGCATTTCTTGTAGGGTCGGTCTTCCAAGGACAAAATCCTTCAGCTTTGCTCATCTGGGCATGTCTAAATTTCTCCTTCATTTTTGATGGATAATTTTGCTCTATATAGAATTCTTGGTTGACAGTTTTTCTTTCAGGACTAAGTATGTTATCCCACTACCTTCTGGCCTCCATGGTTTCTGAGAAGAAATCATCTGTTAATCTTATCGAGGATCTCTCGTACATGACAAGTTGTTTGTTTCTTGCTGCTTTCAAGATTCTCTCTTTGTGTTTTGCATATAATGTGTTTCAGTATGGATCTCTTTGAGTTGATCATACATGGTGTTTGTTGAGCTTCTTGGATATGCAGATTCACGTCTTTCATCAAATTTGGGAAGCTTTCAGCCATTATCTCTCCCAATGTTTTTTTCTGCCTCTTTCTCTATGTTCTCCTTCTGGGATTCCTATTAGATGCATTTGTTGTTGTGCTTAATGGTGTCCCATAGGTCCTTCCACTCTGTTCATTTTTCTTCATTTTCTTTTCTTTCTGCTCCTCTGACTGGATAATTTCAATTGCCCTATCTTCAAGTTTGCTTATTCTTTCTTCTGTCTGCTCAAATCTACTGTTGAAAACCTCCTGTGGGTTTTCATTTCAGTTACTGTACTTTTCAGCTACAGTATTTCTATTTGGTTCCTTTTAATAATTTCAATCCCTTATTGATACTCCTCATATTGCATACATCAACCTCCTGGTCTTCTTTAGTTTTTTTTTTTTTAAATAACATTTTATTGTGTTTGTATTCCCGTTCAATAATTTCCACACAAGCTGTTCAGTTACATTGGTTACATTCTTCACAATGTGTGAACACTCTCCTTATTTCCCTTCTGGTTGTTCCATTTCCATTAATCTAGTTTCCCTGCCCCTTTACGTTCTCATCTTTGTTTTAAAGTCATTGTTGACCATTTGGTCTCATGTAGGTGATTTTTTTACAGGAGCACAGTACTTAAGGGTGATATTCATTATTTTGTGAGCCAATTTGTTTTTAGCTACACAGTGACCTTAGGGGTTAGTTGTGGTTCAAGGTTTGAAGAGTTTCTCAAGGCAATAATCTCAGGGAGTCCTCTAGTTTCAACCAGTCCAGTAAGCCTTTTTTTTTTTTTTTTTAAAGGAATTTGAGGTTTTTTTCACATTTTTCTCCCATTCTATCAGGGTCGAACTATTGTGGCACTGATTAGAATGGTCAGTAGTGGTAGCCGGGCACAATCTAGTTCTTCTGGTCTCAGGGTAGATGAGGCCTTGGTTTATTTAGACTATTTGTCCTGCAGACTAGTTTCTTCTTTGAGTTTTTGGTTTCTCCTTTTTTGTCTATGGTTTCCCTTAGCTCTTTGAGCATATTTAAGATAGTTGATTTAAAGTCTTTGTCTAGTAAGTCCAATGAGTGGGGTTCCTTAGGGACTGTTTCTATCAATTTCTTTTTTGCCTGTGAATGAGCCAGACTTTTCTGTTTATTTGTATACCATATATATATTTTTGTATATACTTATATATATATACAGTTGTTGTTAAAAACCAGACATTTTGAATATTATAATGTGGTAACTCTGGAATTAGATTCTCCTCCCTCCTCAGGGTTTGCTGCTGTTGCTTGTTGAGAGGTGCAGTCATCTGTTTAGTGACTTTCCCAAACTATTTTTTGCAGATTGTCTTCCTTGCTTTGTGTGGCCACTGAAATCTCTGTTCTGTTATCTCAGCAGTCAGCCAGTGGCCTGACATATATTTCCTTAAATGCTTACCAACAAGAAAAGAAAACCTTCTTCCAGTCTTTGTAGGTTGTCTTTGAGCTTGGGCACGCTTTCAACCCTTAACCAGGTTACCTAAAACTCCACTTTAGCTTTCACTTCCTGCTTGCACAGAACCCAAGGATCAGCTAGTGGTGTAAGTCCAGGGGTCTCTTGGGTCTTTTTTGAGTATTCATCAGGGTCTGGACATGTATGTTGCACTTGGTAGTCCCTGAAATCTCTTATTCCTCAATTTCCTCCTTCTCAGAGTCTGCCTTTTCAGGCTTTTCGGTCCATTTGCTGCTTGCCCCAGCCACCATTCCTTGCCCCAGGTGGCCACAGGCTGTGCTGGCCCTTCAAGGTGCTGCCAGACAGGTCAAAGCATGCCTCCACAATTTTTTTAGAACAAGGCCTGTATTTTGTCCCATTCCCCAGCCTCAGCAAGCTGCACCAGGAACACAGACTGCTGTCCCTGCAGCTGTTACAAGCTGGAAAATAGCAGATGGTAGGTGGACGAATGAAAACATCTCAATGCTTTGTTACCGGATTTTTGCACTTTCTTCATTAAGTACTCCTCTGGTTGCTGTAAGTATTTGGTTAGAATCTAGAGTTTCAAAAAAGTTGTCTGTATCATTTTTTGCTAGGTTATTGGCTGATTCAGTGAAGGGATCAATTGTTGGAGCTGCCTACTCCATCTTTTGTTTGTTTGTTTTTTAATGTCACCATGTACCGTATTCATGGTAGGTGCATTTTTGCATTTATTTTATGTTTTTTTTCTCTCCTTTCTTGTGGATTTTTTTCATTCAATTTTCACTATTAGTTTGGAAGCTATACACTCCTTTTCTATTCTTTTAGTGGTTATTGTGGGGATTATAAAATACATAAGTTTAGTGTTAATATTTACTTTTACCCTTGTCCTGGACAATGTAAGAACTTAGAATACTTTCATGTTATTTTACCCTCTCCTGACTTATATGCTATCCTTTCCTTCTGCCAGGCACCTCAGGACACTATTAGTCTGAAATAAGGCTTGAGGTTTATCTAGGCCATACAGCCTGTATACCAACATCCAGATTACAGCCCAGAGTTGAAGGATATATGTGCAGGGACATGGTGGGATGTGAGTTCTTAGGGTCTCTCTAATAGAAGCACATTTCTGACCTCTGCGCCTCACTCTCATCGCTGTTATTCATTGCTAAAAGTACAGCTCCATCTCTTAGTTGCCTCGTCTAATTCACCAAAAGCCTATGGGATAGAAGCTGCATCAGCTCACCTCTATCAGCTCTAATCCTCTCTTTGATCTTGGTTATGCAATTCCTAACTATCTTGTTAGGTTTTTGATGGTTTTAGGAAGATTAAAAAAAAAAATTCAGCCAGATTTTTTAGTTATCTGAGGTGGGGAGTTGGTGTGCCTCACTTAGTCTATTTCTAGAACCAGAAGTCCTATTTATTTCTTTGACAAACATTTACCATTATATCACAGTTTACCAGGTAACTAGTGCTTCACAACAAACTACTCCAAAACTCAGTAGCTTAAAACAACAATTTATTATTTCTCATGATGCTATGGATTGGCTAGTTTATTCTGCAGGTCTTGTCTAGGCTCATTCACGTGGCTGCATTCATCAGGTGGGTTAGCTGGCGCAGAGGGTCTAAGATTGTGTCATCTACATTTCCAGGACCTTGGCAGGGATGGCTGGAAAGCCTAGGAGCCTCACCCTCCACATGGCCTCTCATCATTCAGTGGTGTAGCCTTAGCTTTTTTATGCGGCTACTGGGACTCAGGACAGCAAAGGCAGATGCTGCAAAGTATATTGAGGCTTACGCTTTGAACTCACACAACGCTCCATCCACCACATTTTATTGTTCAAAAGAAGTCACAAGATTCAAGGGAGTGGAGGAACAGTCTCCACTCTTGATGGGAGGAGCAGCAATGTCTCATTGTGAAGGAAAGTAACTCAATGTAGCATGATTCATTGGGGGCCATTATAATCACAAACTACCAAAGTCTTCTCTCAAACCAATGTAAGTTTGGCCCCCACTTTTGATACCAATAACTGTATAAGTTCAGTTCAATTGTATCAGAGTTCAGTCAGGGGAACAGAATCACTATGAGCATTAAGGAAAAAGGGATTTATTACGGGAATTAGAACTCACACAACCGTGGAAGAATATGGGGAAATGAAGGTCCAGAAGGGCAGCTGAAGGACCAGAGGAAAAGTTACTAAGCAGGCAAGTTGCTGAAGTGGGACTGTGAGGGGGTATCTCATAGAAAAGTTCATGGAAAGATACTGCCTGTAGGGCAGCAGCCAGTGTCTGGTGGTGGGTCAAGCCACTGTTGTTTAACAGAGTCAGCAGTTAGGAAGAATGGCTGAATGTGGAGCAGTGGAGAATGAGGACAAGCTGGGCACCTCCATGCTTCTGCTACCGTATCTGACTAAAACAATCTTCAGAGAGTAAAGGACACAGCCTTCAAAATTTCATGCAAGTTCCGTTTATGGCCAACTCTAATCCAGAACCACACAGGGAGGGAGATTTTGGAAAACAGTGCTCAGCTAAATCAATTTGACACAGTACAAACCACCACAGTTGACCAGGATACAAAGATACAAGAGACAAAAAAAACTTTTCACACTTGTGAATTATATCGTCATCAGAAAAAAGAAGAGAAAAGAAAAGCCTGGTACTATGTCAAATTCCACTTTAGGGAATCTGTTCCAAATAAATAACAAAAAGAAATAATCAGAAACTTGTATAAAAAACCTGTTGCTGTTGAGTCGATTCCGACTCACAGCGACCCTACAGGACAGAGTAGAACTGCCCCATCGGGTTTCCAAGGAGCAGCTGGTGCACTTGAACTACTGTCATTCTGGTTAGCAACTGAGCTCTTAGCCACTGCGCCACCAGGGCTCCAAAACTTGTATAAAACATTATTATTCATACAAGTGAACATTTAAAAGAAGAAAACAATACCCAAACTCCAGTAACAGGGATATGTTTAAGCAAACCATGATATTTCAATATAAAGGAATACTATACAGTATATGTATGTGGATCATATCAATACACAAAAAACATGCTGCCGTCAAGTCAATTCTGCCACGTAGCAACCCTATAGGACAGAAAAGAACTGCCCCATAGAGTTTCCAAGGAGCGCCTGGTGGATTTGAACTGCCAACCTTTTGGTCAGCAGCTGTAACACTTAACCACTATGCAACCAGGGTTTCCACCAATACATAGAAACACATAAAAATTACATTAAGCCTAAAAGAACTCAAATTATATGTATCTGCGAGTTACCATTACATAAAATTATGTGATCACGTAGATAATGACCAAAAAAGTAAATAAACGCTTAAGGTCATGATTGTTTCTATATATTTGTTTAAATACTTAATAAAACCTTGAAACTGCAATAATGGAAGCATACTAGTTTTCTCTGGATGCATACCTATTTGCACACTTTTTGGGTAGGATAAAAGATAACTCAGCTCCAACATTGCTCTCCAAAATAGCATCTGGTACATAATTATATATAAGACTGGCAACTTCTGTTGCTTTACACTGAGGTTCTTTCACCATGACCATATGGTATCCTGTACCTGTAAGAAATAATCGAGAAGAAAAAGTATCACAGTTTTATATTTCCAGCTTTTCCTGCTTGTCTCTATTTAAATTTCCGTGTTTGGGTCAGGCCAAATTTTCCAGAAAAGAAGAAGTGGACTCCCTGCCATATAAGTTCTTGTTGTAATAGTATCTTTATAAATGCTGCTCCAAGAGTCTTGTTTCCTATTCCCTCCACTGAAGATGGAATGTGAGAGGCCATACCCAGAAGAGGGAGGGTTCTCCTGACAATACTGGTGTGATATTCTGGAGCTGCTAAATGCTTCAGTACAGAACAGAGGCAACTCTTCTTTGGTATTGGGTAAATACATACTTAATTCTGCCTTTTTTTTTTTTCCAGGGATTAATAAGATCCATGATTTGGGATCTAGGTCCAGAGGAAGTTGTCTGTGACCTGGTTTCTCATTTGTCCCCACAACTATGGATACATGTTAATAAGTCACCCTTGTCTTCTTACTAGTTCTTACTGTCGTTTAACTCTTTGTTGCATCTTACATGGTTGAGTACCTCCTTCCTTTCCACACTACCTTAGTTCATTCTCTCTCAACCTGCTTGTGCCAGTCCTTGTCCCTGTGCTTTGCTGGTTATTTTAAATTAAACCATAAATCCTTGCTAAGGCCTATGCTTAAAATTACAGACAGTTGAAGTCTATAAACAGATATTAGGAGTACAAGAAATGGTGACTTTTGGGCAAATAATATCCTCCTGGTTATAAAGACAGTCAATAAGAAGTCATAAGGAAACACAACCCATGATGCCATGATTTTAATTTCTGGGTTTCTACATCTGATTGTAACAGGGATAACTAATAGATCTTAATCCAGGAAAGGATCATGTGGTGCTGAGGACACCAGAATTCAAGCTGTCCTCCTCATGTGGTACCCTTTCCACTCTGCCTTGTTGTTTCCTTAAGGAACTGGACTCACATTGTATGAACTCAAGAAAAGACAAGTGAGACTCAGTTTGTTATTACACAAATGGAGACCCTTTCAAAAGCTTCTCTTTATTCTCCCTTCCCCTATCTTCTTTCTCTCAAAATTGATTCTTTGTTCTATCCACGCAACCTATAATAAATTGGACATGCTTCATAATGCATGGAGGCTGAAAGATGCTGATCTGTAAGAGCTATAAATAAATGCTGATTAGTAGAATAAGAAAACCTAGATCAAGAGATTTTCTAAATCCTTCAAGCAAAAAACAAAAACTAGAGTGGTGACATTTTAAATTTGGCTATGTCCAAATCATTAAATATTTATCTGTACAAAGGAGTGAACAGGTAGTTTAAGGAAACATTACCGTTCTTAGGTTTTGTTCTGCTTCATTAAAATTTTCTCTAAATCAGACACTCTTAAACTTTTTTGATTGATCACTGAAAATATGATGAAAGCTAATGGATATGTGCATGTAAATGCAATTTTACATCGTATTTCAGGGGATTCATGACCCCCTGAAGGCCATCAATCGGCTACTTGTTTAAGTACCCTGGTTTTAAATGGTATCATTTTTATTCCTAATAAGAGAGTCATTATGCTTACAAATTTTAATAAAGACATTTTCCTACAGAAAAGTACAACTGAATGAGATTTCATCTAATTTATAGTCTTAACCTCTATCTTCTCAATGCCCCAGGAAGTCTACTGTTTAACATGACACAAAATTAGGCAGTCTTGGTAGCTACTCCGATAGAGTTGAGAAGACTTTCAACAATCCTTAAAAAACTAAAACCTATAAAATAATGGAGAACTCCATACCTCAAAAATCTGTATTTCCTTTTTTAACTTGCCTGAGCTTTAGTCTTCTATCTCTTAATCTCAACATATCCAAATCTATTCTTCATCTTTTCTTTTAGGATGCCTTTCTCTTCCAAATTTTAGATCTACCAATAGCCCTTTCTCCAACTACTCTCTCCTTAAATACCTGTTGCACTAACTTGACGGCACCATATTCTAATATTTAACCACACACTAATTTACACTGACCACTCACTGTTTATGTATGTGACTATGGTCTCCCCAGGAAGATCATATACAACTTAAAGGCAAAGCCTATACCTTATTTCTTCTCTATCTTGCCTTCTCTCTCCATTTTCAAGGGCTTTCAAGGAGTACAATAATTACTTATTGATTTTTTAAACTGTCATTGTACTGGAGCCTTATATAAAAATGAACAGTATCACTCATAACCTGGGGATTTTATTGTTGGGCTAATAATGAAGTGTAGTTATTTGTTTTGCCTTTTTTTACTGTGGTAAATATGCTGATAAGAAAACATTTGTCATTTCTACAGTCTTCACATGTACAGCTCAGTGACATTAATTATGTTCAATTATGTTGTTCAACCATCACCATTAACTGTTCCAGAATTCCTTCCCCTCTTCCTTAAAGAAGTTTTGCCTTCTTTTTATCATCCATCCATCAAATCATTTGGAGAGGGTGATATATTCTAGGGGAAGGGACAACACGAACAAATTCATGGTAGCAAGAATGACCTGAGCAGCTCAAGACTGGGGAGTAATAGGAATTAAGGTTGGTTAGGGAAAGGCCAGATTAGAAGACCCAGAAAGTCAAACAGAAAAGTTTAGGCTTGATGAAGTAAGAAACTGAGGAATCTTGTACAAAGAAATTTTATGTTAATGTGATGCTAAAAGAAGATGAGTCTGGTAGTGGAAATAATAGAAAGGTCATGAATGGGTAGAATAATGGAGATTTGAAAAACCGTATTTTTGTTTGAGGAACAGTGAAGAGCCACAGCACTGCAAGTTCCCCTTGGCCATGATGGCGATACGATCACCCAGAAGGTCCACTTCATCCATATAATGAGTGGTGAGTAGGATGGTGCGGCCGTGTTTTTGCTGCTGAAGGAGATCCCAGGTGGCTCTCCTTGAGATAAGGTCCATGCCAGAGGTTGGATCATCCAGCATCACCACCTACAGATCAAAATACAGCCTGAGTAACTGGTACCATCCCATTTGTGGAGAAGCTTCCTATTCATGGGGAAATCCTGGGCTTACTCTATCTTTTTCTTTCCAGTTGTGCGACATTACTGGCCAAAGTGCACACAGTAAGTCAGGCTCATCTAAAACAATGGCTCTTAAACTTTAGGGTATATTGGAATCGTTTGAAGAACTTGTTAAAACTACATTACCGGGCCCCACTCCCAGAGTTTCTGATTCCATAGATCTAAGTGGGCCCTGAGAATTTCATTTCTAACAAGTTCCCAGGTAATGCTGCTGCTGCTGTTAGCTTTGTGGACCACACTTTGAGAGCCACTGATCCAGAGCAGGGATCAGCAACCTTCTCCTGTAAGGGCCAGATAATAAACACTTTAGTCTTTGCAGGGCAGACAAGTTCCATCAAAACTACTCTACTTTGTTGCTGTGGCACCAAAGCAGCTATATAAAGAATGGGAATGGCTATGTTCCAATGAATCTTTATTTACAGAAACAGATTTGGCCCAGATTTGTCATTTGTAAACCCCTGATCTACAGGGCATACCAAAGAGATACTTAGTATGCTTCCTCATGGAGTTCATCTCTTAGAAGTTTATCTGTTCTCTTAGATTTATAATAAGCTGCTTTTCTGATTTTTTGGTTGTTATGGGGACCCAATTACACCCCTATTTATACCTTAGAATTCCCTACAAGTGCAATACTGATGGAAAGCTTGCGTTTCATTCCTCCGCTCAGTGAGTTAGAAAATGAATGTCGTTTATCTTGCAATTTAAACACATTCAATATATTATTAATTTCGCTTTGACACAAATCCCGAGGCAATCCTTTTAGCTAAAAACAAAAAAAGAGAAGAGTGAATTCAGACTGGGTTCTGACAACGTACCATCTCCACATCAGAAAGATTTTATTCTAGAACCCTTTTTACATAGCAAGTTTGGAGAAATTCCCTTCTTCACTCCTGTTATGAATTCACCGTGTCTCCCTTTCTCCATCCTCAAAAATATGTGCTGAAATCCTAACCCCATACTTTATAAATATGATCCTGTTTGGAAATAGAGGTTTTCTTTTGTTATGTTAATGAGGTCATACTAGGGTAGGGTGAATCCTAACCCCAATCACTTCTGAGCTATAAAAAACAGCAAAACAGACAGAGACACACATAGCAAAGAGGAATAGGATGGAGAAAGATGTATCTACAAGCCCGGTAACGCCAAGGATTGTTCCAGTTACTAGAAGCAGTTACTAGAAGACAAGGAAGGACCTTCCCCTAGAACCACACCCTGAATTCGGACTTCTAGCCTTTTGAACCCTGAGAAAATAAATTTCTGCTCTTTAAAGTCATCCAATTGTGATATTTCTGTTACAGTAACACTGGGTAACCAAGACAACTCTTTTATTTTGTCTTTAAACGAACTTTCAAAGCATTCTGAGGTAAGTCTATGAGAAAAGAGGGAAAAAAAAAAAAATCTCTCTCTGGCTTACCCTAGCAAAGAAGTAAAGGTGTTCAGATACTGTTAAATAATCAAACAGAAGATCATTCTGGGGGCACAGACCCAGGCTCTTCCGGATATGAAACATGTCTTTTGAGATATCAAATCCACAAATATATGCTTTTCCACTTGTTGGGGGAAAGAGACCTAGGACAAGCAGAAGACACACCAGGGTCTTAGAGTCAGTGAGAGTACACATCATTTCCCATTAATGTCTGATCTGAATGTACCTTTTCTGGCTTAATCTCAATACTCCCATTTCAATGGCACTCAAATACTAATCTATATTCATGGCAAATGGAGCAAATACAAAACAAAGCTCTAGTTGCTGTGAAGTACGGGAAACAAAAAGGAGACATGATTATGATTCCTAGAGAGCGAGGAGAAATCTCTCCTGGACAGCTAGGAGAAATCTACAATTTGATTGGGGAGGCAAAAACAGTAACCTGAAATAATTTAAGAGCATAATGAAATGTCGAGCCTACCAAGCAGGGCCCATGTCAGTGGTTACTGATCTTGGATGCACATTAAAATTATCCAAGGACCTTCGCAAAGTATAGATGCTTCGGTCTTTCCCCCCAGACTAAATGAACAAGAATTTCTGGGGGCTGGATTTGGCTCTTGGTACTAAAAAAAATCTTTCCAGGTGATATGAAAGTGCACCCAGGGTTTTGAACCACCATCTAGATTAAGACTTTTATGAATATTCATTATCTTTTATTGCTTGTCTACTTAGGAATATTAGTTTCAATAAACTAGATGGAATTTTCTCCTGCATGCTTCAACTGGGAACAGATTTTACGAGAAATTTAATAAATAATAAAAATGACAATAACTGGGTTATGAAATTGGTAGTTTCTCTTTTTGGCTAGTAAATTCCAGATATTTTAAATATTCTTTAGCTTGCTCATAATAGATGTGGATAGTATGCAATTGAGTGATAATTTCCTGCCATTCTGGGATGCTGAGGCTACTTGGCAGTTACCAGTAAATCTTCAGCTGGATACTTTGAAATTGGTGGAGTGTATTCTTGGAAACTTTATTGATGGGAAAAGGGCTGCTATCTTATTTTCTATCTTTTAATGACGACGACTCTCCACCTGGACCATTTGTGTGTCTGCAAAGAGGATCACTTTGGCACCCTCTTGAGTTTTTCATCTTCCATCAATCGTCAGAGGATTCCACTTCCACAGTGGCATCCCTTGCGTGACATCACTTCCAATTCTTTGCTGTATTTCCTTATCATTTAGGGATGAAGTCTGGTTGCATGTAACAGAAAACCCAAATCACAATGGCTTAAATCAGATAGGGGTTTTTCTCTCAGGTAACAAGAAGTACAAAGGTAGGCAGTCCCGGGCTGGTGCAGCAGCTCAAGGATATCGGGGCCAAGATCTCTGTGATTCTCTTGGGCTTATGTTAGTTAAGGAAGAAGGGGAGAATGAATAAGTAGGCAAATAGCAGTTTCTGTTGCTCTCCTTGGTAAAATTTGCATACAGACGAACACAGTATAGTTTATAAGGTCAGACTATTAAGGCTGACTTCAACTGTACTAGGAAGAACCATTTCAAATGATGGAGTCCTGGAGTCAAACCTGTGTTTCTGTTTTCCAGAAGTATGTAATTTTGGCTATCTGTTAATCTTCATTTTTTTATCTTTTAAAGGAAGCCCTTTATTAAATAGAACCACTTACATTTTGTTTGCCTTATAATGTTTTAGCTTTCCCTTAGCTGATATGTATGTCATATCAGCTGGGGATCCTGTCCACTGGAGAGAGAGAATTAAATTAGGATTGAACCTTAAATTCCATATCCTATAGAATTACAAAGACTTAGCCAAGAAGTTTTAAGTGCAATGGTCCTCTCTGCTTCCCAACTCTATTCTGTCGTGAACTATCATTGTTTCATCCTGAGTTAAACAGGATGTAAAAAATCTTTTTGGATTTTCTATATAGAAAATCATATGAACTGTAAATAACAGCAGTTCTATTTCTTTCCATTTTTTTCTACCTTTATTTACAAAATGCTGTAGTTTTATATTTTAGATACGCCTTTTGTAAGCAGCATACAGTTTTTAAAAAAAAATCCAGTTTGATAATCTTTGTGCCATTGGAGTATGAAGTTTAAATTCACTTTAAATACTGTTATATTTATATTTACACCTACCATCTTATTATTTACTTTTATTTGTTCTACTGTTTCCATGTTCCTTTTTACCTTCTTTCTTCCCTTCTTTTGAGCAGACTATTTTTTATTACTCTTTCCCACCTAAGGTCCCTCAGGTGACACAAACGGTTTGCGTTTGACTGCTAACCTAAAGGTTGGTGGTTCGAACCCACACAGCAACACTGCGGAAGGAAAGGCCTGGAGGCCTGGCGATCTGCTTCCGTAAGATTACAACTAAGAAAACCGTATGGAGCAGTTCTGATCTGTAACACATGGGGTCGCCACGAGCTGGAACGGACTCCACGGCAACTATCAACTACAACAATTTCCCACCTTCTCTTAGCTTGATAGAAACCCTGGTGCCGCAGTGGTTAAGGGTTCAGCTGCTAACCAAAAAGTCAGCAGTTTGAATCCACCAGGAGCTCCTTGGAAACCCTATGGAGCAGTTTTACTCTGTCTTATTGGGTTGCTATGAGTCAGAATTGACTCGACCGCAATGGGTTTTTTATTAGCTTGATAGTTTTATGCTCTTTTCCTCTGTTTTTAGTGGTTTCCCTAAAGATGAAAACATGCTTTTACCTCTTCCCAGTCAATGCAAGGACCTAAGAACAATTTAACTCCTTTACCCCTTTCCTACTTAAAATGTTATTGCTGTTGTAGTTTAATCCTCTACGTATTTTTAATCCCAGATGATGTTTAAATGACTTCAGGGCATTAAACCGTACATACATGTTACTGTTGTTGTGTATTTTAATTCTATATGCGTTTTAAAAAACCCTTTTAGTTGTAGATTCATACACAGTTTTAAGAAATAATACAGAGACACACTGTGTACTACCATTTATGCTGTTTCTTCAGTGGTAACATATTGTGAAACTATTGTACAACATCACAACTAGGATACTGACATTGATACAATCCACTAAGCTTACTCAGATTTCCAATTTTACCTGTACTCCTATGTGTGTGTGTGGTTAGTTTTATACAGTTTTATCACACATTCATCTTACACGTTTGTCCGTCCACCACCACTCAAGATACAGAACAGTTCCACGACCATGTCAACAACTTGTTTTCCATTACTATAATTTTATCATTTCAAGAATGTGGTTAAAGCACTTGGTTGCTAACCAAAAGGTCAGCAGTTTGAGCCTACCAGCTGCTCTGTGGGAGAAAGGTATGACAGTCTGCTCCCATAAAGGTTTACAGTGTTGGAAACCGTATGGGGAAGTTCTACTTTGTCCTATAGGGCTACTATCAGAATCAACTCAATGGCTGCGGGTATAATGTATGTGTATATATATATGCGTGTGTGTGTATATATATATATATATTTCAGTATGTAACCCTTTGAGATTGTTTTTACTTAGCATAACTTCTTGGAGTTTCATTCAAGTTGTGTACCAACAGTTTTTTCCATTTTATTGTTGAATAGTTTTCCATGTTATGAATGTACCACAGTTTAACCAATCACATATTGAAGGATATCTAAGTTGTCTCCATTTTTGGGGTTATCATGAATAAATCTGCTATAAGCATTTGTGTACAGGTTCCATTTGTCTGGGATAAATGCTCAAGAGTATAATTGCTGGGTCATACAGTGATTACATGTTCGGTTTTATAAGAAACTGTCAAACTGTTCTCCAGAGTGGTTGTACTATTTCACATTTCCATAAGCAACACAAGTGTCTGTGGAGCCCTTGCGGCGCAGTGGTTAAGAGCTATGGCGAGCTACAGCTGCTAACCAAAAGGTCAGCAGGTTGAATCCACCAGCTGCTCCTTGGAAACCCAATGGGGTAGTTCTACTCCGTTCTACAGGGTTGCTATGAGTTGAAATCAACTCAACGGCGACTTTGGTTTTGGTTTTTCATGTGTGTTTTTAATCCCACAAAACGTTTAAGGATTTTAGGACACTTTAACTCCTTTACCCAAGGATTTTAGGACACTTTAAGTCCTTTACCCAAGGATTTTACGACACTTTAATTCCTTTACCCTTCTCCTTACTTACATATTATTGTTCCATATTTTAATTCCATATGTATTTTGAATCCCACAAGTTTTAAATTTTTTTTTATTGTACTTTACATGAAAGTTTACAGAATAGTTTCTCATTAAACAGTACACATATTGTTTTATGACATTGGTTAGCAATCCCAAGACATGTCAACACTCTCCCTTCTTGACCTTGGGTTCCCTATTACCTGCTTTCCTGTACCCTCCTGCCTTCTAGTCCTTGTCCCTGGGCTGTTGTGCCCCATTAGTCTCGTTTTGTTTTATGGGGCTTTCTCATCTTTGGCTGAAGGGTGAACCTCAGGAGTGGCTTCATTACTGAGCTAAAAGGGTGTCCGGGGGCTATACTCTTGGGGTTTCTCCAGTCTCTGTCAGGCCAGTAAGTCTGGTCTTTTTTTGTGAGTTAGAATTTTGTTCTGTATTTTTGTCCAGCTCTGTCCGAGATCCTCTGTTGTGATGCCAGTCAAAGAAGTCAGTGGTGGTAGCCGGGCACTATCTAGTTGGACTGGACTCAGTCTGGTGGAGGCCGTGGTAGTTGTGGTCCACTAGTCCTTTGGACTAATCTTTTCCTTGTATCTTGTTTTCTTCATCTTCCCTTGCTCTTGAAGGGGTGAGACCAGTGGAGTGTCTTAGATGGCTGCTCACAGGCTTTTAAGACGCCGGACGCTACTCACCAAGGTAGAATGTAGAACATTTTCTTTATAAACTATGTTATACCAATTAAGCTAGATGTTCCCTGAGACCACGGTCCCCACAGTCCTCTGCCCAGCAATTCAGTCCCTCAGGGAGTTTTGGATGTGTCTATGGAGCTTCCATAGACACATCCTTGCACAAGTTGTGCTGGCTTCCCCAGTAGTGTGTACTGTCTTACCTTCACCAAAGTTACCACTTATCTATTGTCTATTTAGTACTCCCCCTCTCCACTCCTCCCATTCCTCATAACCATCAAAGATTGTTTCTTTTTGTGCATAAACC